TATGCCATACGGATTTCAAAGAACAGATGAGAGAGGATTTCAAAGAAGAGAGGAGAGAGAGAATTGAAAATAGGCTGTTTGAATCAAGAAAAAGAAAAATAAAAAAATAAAAAAAGGGAAAAAATGATAAAAGATAAGATTTATATAATTGAATAAAAAAATTAAATAATAAGATAAAAAATATATTGATTAAAATATTTTTATTATTAATATAAATTAATTAATTTATATTATAGATACACATTTATATATAATAAAATTAATTTATATATAAATTATAAAAATAATTTGTGATATTTTAAAGAAATATTTAAATTTTATTTTTTATAATTATAAAAATTTATAAGTACTTTTAAATTGAAAAACAATTGTTTTAAAAATTATTTAAAAATACATTTTAAATTATTTAAATAATTTATTACATATTAAGTAAAAAAAATATTTCACATGCTAATTAATATATATATATATATAAAATAAATCATAATAAAAATAAAACTATACATTAAAATTACATTATTAAAAAATTAAAATTTATTAATAATTTACACTATAACATTAATATATTTAAATAAAGTAAAAAAGGTATATTTTTTCAATCGGTGAAATTTTAAATATATTTTTAATTTATAATATAAACTATATGTAATTATGTTATTCTGTTTATTATATTTTTAAATTAAATAAATATATTTTTTAATAGTATTGTAGTTATTTTTTAATTAAAAGATATAATTAGTTAAAATAAATTTATTCAAAATTCAAACTTAAAATTTTAATAATCATAATTATAAGGGTTTAAGTGTTAATATAAGTTTTATATTTGTAAAATTAAAAAAATATTATAAATAAAAAATTAATGTAACAATCAATATATTTATTATAAATAATTATATCTAATTAAATCACTTCTTAATAATTTTTTTTATGTACCCTCTAATATTGTTTTTAGGCAGAGAATTTGTATTTGGATGAGTAATAAAATTGAAGTTTTTAATTAAAACATAATTAATTACATAATTGATTATGTACTAAAATTGTAATAGATTATTTCTTTTTTATAATCAATTATGCTTATTTGTTTTATATAATAAATAATAATTAAAGGGTAATAAAGACATTCAAAATATTTTATCTAATTTCTCCAAATTTCTTCTATCTCAACATGTTCAAATTAAATATAGGATCGGCCAAACTTTCTATGCAAATCATCTCAAATCATTAAATACAAATTACATATTTATGTACAAATTCATCCTCTCATTTCTTCTACTACACAACATAATTAGATCCAAACATAGACTTAGGGTCCAGATATGGTCCACACATGTCCTCGATCATGAGAGGCGATGAGACTATAATTTGAAAGATGCATTGTTTGTTTCATCAATTGTTTCCTAAATACTTGAAATGTCACAAGGCATTGTTGTATAAGGTTTCACTTAGTGACATGATTTCAAATTAGGGGTGTCTAGAGCATCTCGATCTCGAGTAAAAGTTGTTTGGTGAAATCCTTAAGTAAAATAGTAGTTGCTTCAAGCACTTTTTATTAGAAGAATCATATGTGACATGGTAAGTTCCTTAACTTTTTTTTATAATTATTTCATTAAGCAATTTACAAAAATAAACAAAATGAAGAAAATAAGGAGAGAGAATAGAAGAGAAAATGAGTTCTTTAAAATTTATTAAGAAAAATTTCATTTGAGTAAAATCAATAATGAATTATTTTAGAGTATGTGGCATAACAAATTCATAGTTTATATTTTTAAAGATAAGAAGCAACTCATCTGAATTGTTTTCATTGGAGATGCCCTAAACACACTCAACACATGTCACAATAAGAATTGTTAATGTGATTTCGCTTCGTCAATCACGCTTCATTATTATACCCTTTGTCAAGGGAACATATGATAATCTTTTATTAGTGCTTTTAAATATCTTATTAGCTCTATTGTCTACCCTTCACAAGAGTCATCTCTCTTCAAATTTATCACATGGCTTCATTGGAGTAGTCTCCTTTCCCTTCCTTGTTTTCTCAAACTCTTTCTTATTATGCTTAGATATGACTTTTCTTGTCTTAGTTGTTTGTTGTTTTGTTTCTACGATTGGATTTAATTTCAATTTTTTCTATGTTTTCCTGAACTTGTATATTTTTTCCCTTCCTACTAGTTTTGAGTGAGTTTATGTTTGTTATACTATTTTTGTTTTGTCTTTGTTTAATGAATTGCATATTTTACAATTATATTTATTTATTTTTGGTATATGTAAAACGAGTTATGTCCTTGGCTGAGTCAAAACTTATTAATGAGCCTTTTGAGTACATATCAAACAAAATTTTAAGAGCTTTTAAGTATATAAAATTCTTGAGTTAGATAGATAACGAGAAAGAAATAACATTTAAAGCTTGCAGTGAGATTGCATATAAAGACTAAAATTCTAAGGAGGGGCTTCTACCTATTTTTTTTTTTTAATAAAGTTTTTATTAAGTTGTGGTTACAACTCCCTTTAAATCCTTTTGAGAAAGATATATAATTGTCGTGAATTTTGCTAAGTTAGTTATATCCAAACAACTGGGCATTTATTTGAGTTTTCCATATCTTTTATACACATTTTAGGATCACTCCCGTGACTACACTAGTACAGAAATCACTTTTAACATCGGGCTTTCCACATCGGTTCTTTAAGAACCGATGTAGAAAGTGAATTCAAGACTTTCAACATCGGTTCCCAGATGAACCGATGTAGAAAGTGTTTTTATAAAATTAAGAAAATTATTACTGACAGGATTCGAACCCAATACCTTGAAATCGAAGACTGATACTCCAACCACTAAGCTACCAAGATTTTCTGATAATAACATATACATAAATTATATTTATATACAAATAAAAATCTATATCCATGTAAATATATAAATATAAAATATATAAATACAAATATATTTATATATTTATATGTTGGATGTGAGAGCGCGCTCGAGAGTAAAAGTGTGTGTCAAGTGGGTTTTCAAAATTTGATGTCAAATTTGTGAGCAAGTTTCTTTATATGAATTTGTAATTTAATGATAGAATATAATCTTTATAATTTATTTATAATAATATAGAATATAATCTTTATAATTAATTTATATAATGATATAAAATAAAGAAAAAAATTATTTTATATCATTATATAATCCATATAAAGAGACCCGCTCACAAATTTGACATCAAATTTTAAAAATTCACTCGACACACACTTTCATCCTCGAGCGCGTCCTCACATCCAACATATAAATATATAAATATATTTGTATTTGTATTTATATATTTTATATTTATATATTTACATGGATATACATTTTTATTTGTATATAAATATAATTTATGTATAAGTTATTATCGAGAAAATCCTGGTAGCTTAGTGGTTGGAGTATCGACCTCAGACTCTAAGGTACTTGGGTTCGAATCTTGCTAGTGACAATTCTCTTAATCTGATAATAATTCAAATTTCTAAAAAATATAAATAATAAAAATATAATATAAAAGGGTTATAAAAGGGAGAGGATAGTCTAGGAAACTCTAGATGAATAGATAGGGTAATTAGAGATGTGTTATGAATAAATAAAATAAAAAAAAAATATTAGACTTTCTACATCGGTTCCTTACAACCGATGTAGAAAGTCACACTTTCTACATCGGTTGTATCTACATCGGTTCTAGAACCGATGTTAAAAGTCCCTAGAAACCGATGTTAAAAGCCTATTTTGTACTAGTGCTAACATGCTTTTGTTTCTTTCTTTTTAATATAAAATCTCGAAGAAAATTTCCTAGGCCTCGATTAGTAATATCATACGTTTTAAGCTACTAACCCAGTTTTTTGTTATCTTATAAGTATTTTAGAGAAAATTTGTGAAAAATTAGGTCACTAAACAATAACTAATGTAAAATAAAGTAAGGTGCAAAATTTTAAGAAGATAAGGTGCAAAATTTTAAGTAAAAAAGTAAGCAAACTCAAGAAAAATTCTCACTAGACATTAAGATAGTTGTCTATCTAGATGTGAAGGTTCATTTCCAAGGATTATGAAGAGAGGAGGAGATGAAATGAAACTAGAAAAGAATAAAGACAAGGGTTGGAGAAATGGACCAGCCCCTTGGATAAATAAATGAAGTGAAGAAATAAATAAGAAAAGATGAAGAGAAAATAAGTATGGTGATGGTGGAGTATTGACATGTCACTAGGGGATGAGTCATCCTAAATAAGTGGTGTTTGCCGCCACTTAAACTAAGGTTCAAGATACGACACTTAAAGAGATGAAACGCTCTAAAAAAACCTCACAAACTTGTCATAAATGTTTAACCTAATTACATGAGGGGAAACCTTCTATTTATAGGCTTTTGGGGAGGGACCTAGATGAAATTACAAAAGAGACATAAACTTAACCTAAAGGCTAGAGTCCAAATATGTTAAATTCATCCTAGTCCTCCAAAAATACTTCTGAGGGTGTGGAAAACATGAAAAAAAGATGTGTGTTTCTTTTTGGGTTGTTCTAAGCCTACCAATTCCTTATTCTAAGTTTCTTCCTCTCCAAAAAGGGGTGTAGGACATGAAAAAGGAGTGTCTTACACCTTTGGGCTGCCCACACATGTATCCTATGTATCCAAGCCCTCTTTTCCAATAAAAAGAGATGATATTCTTCAAAAAGGAAGTGCAAAAAGAGAGCCTACAAAAGGAAAGCGAAAATAAGTAAAAAAAAAAAACTAGAAAAAGAAAATACTTAGTAAATTAAAAATGAAGGGTGAGGAGGAAGTCTCACTTTCAGCCATGCTTCTAGTGATCCTCTTAGGGATGACCTTTCCCATCTCCGGGACAACTAGGGACTCATCAATAACCCACCCCTCCTTTTGAGTTTCCCTTGTACTGGACTACCAACCCCAATATTCAACTCTTTAAGTAGATAGAAGAATTAGACTTCGACAAGTTTAGCATTATTTGAAGCTCAGACAACTCTTTATGGGGCCATGGATTTGAAAGTGTACTTAGGTATTCTCCTTTGTTATTTGTACTCAATTTTATTTCAGATAAGCAATGATCTTTGCTTTTTACGTGAAAAAAAAAAATCTTATCAAAGAAAGATATGCTTCATTGAATTTGTGAGCTTACAATAGTAACAGACTACTGAAAATGTGGAAATAAGGAAGGAATCACAAGCTCATTCGGGTGTTGGTCATGATGTTGGCAAAATTTGGGTCATGTATATATATGATACATATTTAAATGTGTTAGGGTCATTATTTATTAAGCCAAATAATAAAGTGATCTGAATAAATTAAAGTTTTGGCTAAAGGCATATGTCATGAAAATATGATTGTGTAGAGACCATAGAGTAATTTTTAATTTGATGAGGGGCCAAATTGAAAATACTAAAACTTAAGTAATTAACCTAATTTTGGTTATATAAAGGGTCATGGTCCCCTTCTGAGAGCACACAGACAGAATACAGATACAGTCCTGTTCTTTTCTTTCTATCCCCATCAAGAGAGAAAATCCATAGGGAAATACGGGTGCTCTTCAGGTGGAAGACCATAAGATCAACTCAAAGGTGCTCTACAAAGAATATCATCATTATGACTAATTCAGGTACGCTTTCGCATTTAGTTTATATAACATGTTTACAGTATGGGATTATAGATATATGTTTGATCATTAGGATGAAGATCATAATCAATTACAGATTAACCTAACAATTGGTATCAGAGCAACCCATACTTATTCATGTTTGTATTTGGAAATTAGAATTAACAAAATTAAGATTTAAGAATTCCCTTTGACAATAATCTTCAAATTTTATGAACTCTACATTCAAATTTGGGGCAAAATCCCCAATTTTAAAACCTAGTTTCTAATTTGGGATAAATTCCCAAATTCCCAAATCGAGCGGAGACGACCTGGCTCTAGTGGCACCACCCGAACGACGTCGTCTTCTGGCGAGATGCTTTTAACTTCCGTCACAACCAGAAGTCTATTCGTGTCGTTCCAGGGTGAGTCATTCTCGATCACCGTGTATAAAGCCAAATCAACAACGAACCTCGTTTCCTCTCCCAAACTCGTCACGCCAAGAAAATCGGCGATCGACGGTGCATCGTCTCCCTGACAAGTTATAAATAGCAGAGGCCATTGTTTCTTATATTCGTCCTGCTTCACCGAACAAGCAACGAGCCTTCCATTTTGAGTTTTGCAGTTGATGTTAAGAGAAAGGGTATGGGAGAGAACCGAATTGTGGAGGCGCATTCACTAAGGCTTCTCCATAACCGCCTCTTGCAATGGCGTTTTGTCAACGCCAGAACAGATGTTGATCTCTCTGTGCAAAAATCAAATGTTGAGACTAAATTTCTGTAGAAGTTCACCGGAGTTTCTTGAGCTTACATTGTGATTTAGGACTCTCCAAGGAATCGACGAACAAGGATTCATGGCGCAATGGTAGCGCGTCTGACTCCAGATCAGAAGGTTGCGGCCAACATTTTGCTTCTGCTGAGAAATCAATAAGGGACCTAAGAAAATGTGGGACTCGCTGCCTTAATTATCAAAAAAATATGATATAGTTAATGACGTGGGACCCACTGTCTTAATTAAAAAAAAAGTCATCATACGTGGCATTATAGTATATATATTTTTTTTTTGGAGTGGCCCTTGAGACTTAATTTGGTTTAGGGTTACCCTTATTAATATATTCAATTTGTTTGGTAGTTTAATAATTTTGTGAGCAAATTGAGTCAAGAAGTTACCAAAGTAACCTCTCTTGAATTGGGTAGTTCGTGAAAAATATTAAATGTTAGTGTTTGTGTATATTCATGCGAGTATTAGTCGGCCCAAAGGAAGATTAATATTTGGCCGAATTACATACACACCTGTAATGATAAACATGTGATAATTATAAAGATTTGCTTTGTCGATGATAAATCAATCCAAAGACTGGTTTGTTGTTGGACGTGCTTTATTGTCAATGTTTGATTATTACAACAAGATACCTCTAGCAGTTAATATTACTGTCCAAAGACTTGATATTGATGGTGCATTGGGTGTCTTGAGATGGGTTAAACCATTATTTGAATATATATTTTATTTATAAATTATTTTTTTTATGTGAGCATAATTAATTTATTTCTCTTGTTTTTAATTTAGATACAATTATTTCTGTATCTGCCAATTTAAATTATGTTCCGATCCTCAAAAATATGTTTCCTATTTTGGTCTGTTCTGAAGTCAATTTAGCGTCAGTGCCTAGTAACACTTGGTGGTTAGACTCAGGTGCAACTACTAACATCAGTGTTTCTATGAAGGGTTGCTTAAGCTATCGGAAGCCAATTGATTCTGAAAGATGGATATATGTTGGAGATGGCAAATCGGTAGAGGTGGAAGCCATAGGGCATTTTAAATTGTTATTGAGTACTGGTTTTTATTTGGATTTGAAAGACACTTTTGTTGTGCCGTCATTTAGACGGAATTTGGTTTCAGTTTCTTATCTGGACAAATTAGGTTATTTGTGTTCATTTGGAAACAATAAGTTCAGTTTGTCTTTTAATTCAGATATTATTGGAACTGGTTCACTTTTGCCTTATGATAATCTGTATTTACTTGATAATGTGACCACCTATAATGAAACCCTTAATACGGAATCACGGGGTACTAAACGTAAAATTGATGATACTCACTCGGGAGCATTATGGCACGAGCGTTTAGGTCACATCTCTAAAAATAGAGTTGAACGACTTGTGTTAAATGGAATCTTAGAGTCCATTGACTTCACAAACTTTGATGTTTGTGTTGAATGCATTAAGGGCAAACGGACCAAAGCGAAGAGATTAGGTGCATATAGAGCTACAGACGTCTTAGAGTTGATACATACGGACATTTGTGGGCCATTTCCTACACCTTCGTGGAATGGTCAACAATACTTTATATCATTCATAGACGATTACTCACGATATGCATACTTATTCCTTATACATGAAAAGTCACAATCTCTAGACGTGTTCAAAACATTTAAAGCTGAAGTTGAAAATCAACTCAATAAACGAATTAAGTCTGTCAGATCTGATCGTGATGGTGAGTACTATGGCAGATTTGACGGGTCAGGTGAACAGCGTCCAGGACCTTTTGCCAGGTACCTAGAGGAGTGTGGAATTGTCCCACAGTATACCATGCCGGGATCACCTAGCATGAATGGTGTAGCTGAAAGACGAAACCGGGCTCTTAAAGATATGGTTAGGAGTATGATTTGTCATTCCACCTTACCAGAGTCACTCTGGGGAGAGGCACTAAAGACGACAGCTTATATTCTGAACAGAGTACCAACTAAAGCAGCGACCAAAACACCTTATGAGCTTTGGACTGGGCGACAACCTAGTTTGAAGCATTTCCATGTGTGGGGTTGTCCAGCTGAGGCAAGACCTTATAAGCCAAATGAAAAGAAATTGGACTCCCGAACAGTAAGTAGTTATTTTATTGGTTATGCTGAAAGATCCAGGGGATATAAATTTTATGATCCCACATTAAAGACAATTTTTGAGACGGGAACTGTTGCGTTCTTTGAGGATATTGAGTTTGGGGAGAAGAATAAAATCAGGAACTTTGTCTTAGAGGAAGAATCGGTAACAATTCCAGAACCGATTCAAACAGTTACTTTTGATAAAGTAAGTTCGGAACCTCCACAAGGCATTGTTAATGAACCCCTTACTCAAGATGATTTGGTTGTTCATGAAGAACAAACTCAAGATCCTCAAGAACCTGTGCATCATGAGCCAATAACTTTGCGGAGATCCACTAGAGAAAGAAGAAGTGCTATTTCGGATGATTACATGGTATTTCTTCAGGAACATGAGGAAAATAATGGTATGATGGAAGATGACCCAGTTAACTTCCGTCAAGCCATGCAAGGTTCTAACTCTGAAAAGTGGATCGAAGCAATGAAGGAGGAGTATAAGTCCATGCAAGACAATAAGGTTTGGGAACTTGCCCCATTACCAGAAGGTATGAGACCCATTGGTTGCAAGTGGATATTTAAGACCAAACGGGATTCTAAAGGTAATGTGGAAAGGTATAAGGCTCGTCTGGTAGCTAAGGGCTATACCCAAAAGGAAGGGATTGATTTTAAAGAGACTTTCTCTCCAGTTTCATCGAAAGACTCTTTTAGGACAATCATGGCTCTTGTAGCACATTATGATTTGGAGCTTCATCAAATGGATGTCAAGATGGCGTTTCTTAATGGCAACATTGATGAGACGATTTATATGGTGCAACCAGAAAATTTTGTGCAGGGAGATTCAAAGAGTATGGTTTGCAAACTGACAAAATCCATTTATGGACTAAAACAAGCATCTCGTCAATGGTACTATAAATTTCATCAAGTAATTCTCTCATTTGGCTTTGAGATGAATATTGTTGATGATTGTGTATATCACAAGTTTAAGGGGAGTAAGTATATTTTCCTGATCTTGTATGTTGATGACATTCTACTTGCCACTAATGATATAGGCATATTGCACGAAACCAAGAAATTTTTATCAAAGAATTTCGAAATGAAAGATCTTGGTGATGCGTCTTTTGTATTAGGAATTCAGATACACCGAGATCGATGTCGGGGTATTTTGGGATTATCACAAAGGAGCTATATCGAAACAATTCTTAAAAGGTTTGGCATGTATGAATGTAAATCCGGGGATACTCCAGTTGCTAAGGGAGACAAGTTTAGTCTCAATCAGTGCCCAAAGGGAAATTTGGAAATTGAGGAAATGGAAAAGATTCCCTATGCATCAACTGTAGGGAGTTTAATGTATGCCCAAGTATGTACGCGTCCAGACATAGCATACATAGTTGGGGTTCTAGGCAGATATTTAAGCAATCCAGGAATGGACCATTGGAAAGCAGCAAAAAGGGTCATGAGATATTTAAAGAGAACACAAGATTACATGCTCACATACAGGAGGTCAGACCAGTTGGAGATCGCTGGGTTTTCTGACTCGGACTTTGCAGGATGTCAAGATAGTTTGAAATCCACTTCAGGTTACATTTTCATGTTAGCAGGTGGTGCGGTTTCTTGGCACAGTGTCAAGCAAACCCTTACAACTTCATCCACTATGGCAGCAGAATTTGTAGCATGCTATGAGGCGTCGAATCATGGAATATGGCTGAGAAATTTTGTCACAGGACTGCAAATTGTGAAAGGCATTGAAAGACCACTTAAGTTATATTGTGACAACAAATCAGCTGTATTGTATTCCAACAACAACAGAAGTTCGACTAAGTCAAAACACATCGACATTAAGTTTCTAGTTGTTAAGGAAAGAGTACAAAGTGGACAGATTTCCATAGAACATTTGGGGACAAACTCCATGATAGCAGATCCTCTAACTAAAGGACTTCCGCCCAAGGTCTTTCATGAGCATGTTGCTCACATGGGTGTTTTACAGTTTGAGGAATTTGTGGTTTAGTGGGAGTTAGTCATTTTCATATATTTTATGTTCTATGTTTAATTTTATATATGTATACATTGAATTTTTGGACATATTTGGTTATCTATAGATATGCGGTTTTTTGTTCATTCATTACACTTTGTATATTAAGGTTATTATATCGATCTCGATAAGTTAAAGTTTGGACCAGTTGAAAATAGACGTGTACAGATCACCTTCACGTAATTTTTCATGCTACACATTTCATGATGAATCCATGTCATTTGGTTATGTCAGGATGAGTAATCTTGTTGGTTTTAGTTGCGATGATGCAATGAAAAGCTGGTTTAGTTCTATATCCTGATATGATTAATGGACAGGACTTTTGGAATATGCTAAAGGAATATAATGACAATTTTGAGCTCATAAAGTCTAACACATTTGTAAGGTTGTAAGGACATATATATTTGTGACCAGTGGGAGATTGTTGGCAAAATTTGGGTCATGTATATATATGATACATATTTAAATGTGTTAGGGTCATTATTTATTAAGCCAAATAATAAAGTGATCTGAATAAATTAAAGTTTTGGCTAAAGGCATATGTCATGAAAATATGATTGTGTAGAGACCATAGAGTAATTTTTAATTTGATGAGGGGCCAAATTGAAAATACTAAAACTTAAGTAATTAACCTAATTTTGGTTATATAAAGGGTCATGGTCCCCTTCTGAGAGCACACAGACAGAATACAGATACAGTCCTGTTCTTTTCTTTCTATCCCCATCAAGAGAGAAAATCCATAGGGAAATACGGGTGCTCTTCAGGTGGAAGACCATAAGATCAACTCAAAGGTGCTCTACAAAGAATATCATCATTATGGCTAATTCAGGTACGCTTTCGCATTTAGTTTATATAACATGTTTACAGTATGGGATTATAGATATATGTTTGATCATTAGGATGAAGATCATAATCAATTACAGATTAACCTAACAATGATACCAAGAAGTCTAAAAGAACTACAACTAAATTGCAATTATGGTCGAGCAAACAATTTGAAATAAGGTGTCTAAGGTAGACCCTATTTGACTGGAGAGTTCAAAGTTCAAAGTCTAACAATAGTGCACTAAACGTTGATCGGAGATAACTTGGGGTCCATGGAACAGGGTAACAAGTTTGGGGAGGAGAAGTCTTATTTGGATTCCACATTTCCAGACTTGACCCATAATTGAGTTCTTAACTTGCCTGAATATAAAGTATCCTCGTTGAATAACTTAACTAAAGTGGATGCTTGTCGAGGTTATAAAATTGTTTGGACAAGGTAACAATGTTCGCTATTATCACAAAAACTCAATGTAGAGATACTCATGCAACAAAAAAAAAATAGATATGTTTAAGAGTTAAAGGATACAAAAAATGAAATCATGTAATTATAGTAAAAGACTGAGGATTGAAAGAGAATAAATATTAAGTTGAAGAATATGAATAAACATTTGTCAAGCTTAAAGTTTAAGGCAAAAAATATAACGAATTGCCTAAGAAATGAATTGGGATAAGAGGAACAAGAAGTTGCAACCACCAAGTATAGTCTTGTAGAGAAATCTTTTGACGTTGCAAAAGGCGAGATTGTGATAACTTATGTGGTTGGCTTAATGGACCAGATCAAGGTCATTGGCCCAAGGGTTGATTTGTCTGGATCCACTCAAGTTCGTATTGAATGAAAAAATTGTGGAAGATAATTTTTTTTAAGGTTTCACCCTTTTGCATAATATTTGGAAGGTTTAAACCTTCGTGACAACATTTAATGAATCCTATGCATGCATGTTTTCATACGAGTTTATATATTGAATATTTGATGAGTTGGACTTTGTAAAAATTGTGTAAGGATGTATGTATTTGGGTAAGTGTTGTAATGATCTTCGATCTTGATTATGTCGTACTTGATAAAAAATGAATATGATCGGCCAAGTGAGGATCAATAAAGACTCGATCATATATTGTCTCATTGTGCTTAATCAAGAATGAATTTGGTTGGCCAAGTGAGGATGGATGAATACTTGATCATATATTATTTTTGTTGTGCCTCTATCAAGTAAGTGTCCTTAGAGGATAATTGTGTCAAGCTCACATTATAAACTACTTTTAGAAGTTGTTTCAGAGTTGAACTTGTGTTTCCATCATTTACAAATTACCAGCAATAATGTTTATCATATCTTGTACCTCCATCATGTGTTGAGAAGTTGGTAGGGAATTATTTGATTGTGGATTTCCATGACCTTGTACTCAATCGCTATTATATATGTGTCCTCTATCACTTGCTCAGTCCTCATTGACTATTTTACAAAGTATTATAGTGATTTTGTTCAAATTATATTTTGTAAGACTTCTCAAATCTGTTGGCACTCCTTTGTTGTATGACCATAAATTTGGTATCAAGTACAATGCTTACTTCTATTTCCATTGCTTAGTGATATGGAAACATGAGATTTAAATAGAGAAATTAAAAGAGAGAAGTGGAAGCATAAAGCTAAGAAATTATACAATTAAAGGAAGAAATTGATAAAATGGAAAAGAAGAGAAAAAGGAAACTTATGGAAGGTGTTCACGCCACTTGGGAGAAGCTCCAAGATAAGTGAAGGATGGTGATCGCCACTTGCTTCATGACAAGATAAGATCACAAAATTTCAACTAAGAGATAATCTCTATCTCAAAAGTTTACAAAATGCAAAAACTAATTCTCATTCGATTTCAAGTGTGTCCATACAAGAGGAGTATGGACTTTATTTATAGGCTTGGGAGCACAAGTAGTGGGAATGAGCTAGGAAATTTGGGACTTTGGAACAACCAAGGGAGAAGTCCCACATCTCCCCATTACTTGTTCTCCTAAGTGTTTATAAGCCCAAAAAAACACTAAGACAACAAAAACTAATCTAAGGTGAACTAAAAACAAGCTAGAACATGTAAATGGGCCAAGAATACAAGCCCAAAATCTTATACTACTCTTTTTAGGAGAAGGAGTAAAGAAGCAAGAAGATGGTCTTGGTCATGTTTCGTGTTACCCTTCTATTTTCTCCTTTTTGTGCCCCATCTATGATCACATCATCCCCTTGGGTTGGAGAGGATTCGACCATGAATCAAGAAGACCTACAAAAGGAGAAAGATCAGCCACATTAAAGGAAGTACTCACAATAGAAGAATCAGGCAAATCAATCTAATGCATTGTCATTTATTTTGTGAAGGACTTGAAAGGGACCATCTCTGATGTGAACATGACCTATGATAAGGTTTAGAGCAAGAGAAGCAAATGAAGCTTTTCAACAAGTATTATTGGTTGACCAAATTGTGTATTGGATTAATCAATTAATGGACTTTAGTTTAGTTTTATTGCAAGTTGTAATAAGGGCCCAATTGGAAATTTAGTTATCAATCTTTGGGAGACCAAGAGGGTGCATAGCTGATTGACTTTTGGATGCCACAATTTCAGTTACAATCAATCATTATGTAATTTTAAATTCCTAGGTTAATAAATCATTATTAGCATTTATTTTCCTTTAATGAATATTTGTAACTCTAATGGCAAAACTTCTTTATAAGTTGAACCATTTTTATCAGAAATAACAAGTCTGAGTTTTATTATTAGAAATATTAGAGTTTATCTCTTTTATCTTAGTGAGAGTGATTCTCCTAAGTTCTTGAGTGATTCAAGAACCCTTGGCGGTATCAAAGGACTTTCACATCTTTTGTGAGTTGCCTTCCTTGGAAAGAGTGATTCTTTCCTTCCACCTTATCACTAAATTCCTAAATTTCCTACAAGGTTCTAACCTTAAAGATCTTAAATCACCCCTTGTGATTCATATCAGTTGGTATTCAGAGCCCCAATTTAAAGGTTTGAACATCAAATTGATGGCATAGGAGGATAAAAAGAGAATGAGAGAAAAATTTCTTCAAGAAAAGAGAGAAAAAGAAGAAGAAGAGTGAAACACTAGAAGTGAAACAAAGCTATTTAGCCATAAAAAGTAAGTATAATGTTAGTTCTACATTCAATTTGTCAGACTTATCTTTTTTTTATATAGATGACGAATACGATTTGAGGAGAAATCTTTTTCAAGAGGGAGAGAATGATGTGAACATGACCTATGAGAAGGGTTAGAGCAAGAGAAGCAAATGAAGCTCTTCAACAAGTATTGTTGGTTGACCAAATTGTGTTTTGGATTAATCAATTAATGGGCTTTAGTTTAGTTTTATTGCAAGTTGTAATAAGGGCCCAATTGGAAATTTAATTATCAGTCTTTTGGAGACCAAGAGGGTGCATAGCTAATTGACTTTTGGATGCCACAATTTCAATTACAATCAATCATTAAGTAATTTTCAATTCCTAGGTTAGTAAATCATTATTAGCATTTATTTTCCTTTAATGAATATTTGTAACTCTGATGGCAAAGCTTCTTTATAAGCTGAACCATTTTTATCAAAAATAACAAGTTGAGTTTTATTTTTAGAAATATTAGAGTTTATCTCTTTTATCTTAGTGAGAGTGATTCTCCTAAGTTCTTGAGTGATTCAAGAACCCTTGGCGGTATCAAAGGACTTTCACATCTTTTGTGAGTTGCCTTCCTTGGAAAGAGTGATTCTTTCCTTCCACCTTATCACTAAATTCCTAAATTTCCTACAAGGTTCTAACCTTAAAGATCCTAAATCACCCCTTGTGATTCATATCAATTGGTATTCAGAGCCCTGATTTAAAGGTTTGAACATCAAATTGATGGCAGAGGAGGATAAAAAGAGAATGAGAGAAAAATTTCTTCAAGAAAAGAGAGAAAAATAAGAAGAAAAGTGAAACACTAGAAGTAAAACAAAACTATTTAGCCATAAAAAGTGAGTATAATGTTAGTTCTACATTCAATTTGTCAGACTTATCTTTTTTTTTATATAGATGACGAATCTGATTTGAAGACAAATCTTTTTCAAGAGGGAGAGAATGATGTGAACATGACCTACGAGAAGGGTTAGAGCAAGAGAAGCAAATGAAGGTCTTCAACAAGTATTGTTGGTTGACCAAATTGTGTTTTGGATTAATCAATTAATGGGCTTTAGTTTAGTTTTATTGCAAGTTGTAATAAGGGCCCAATTGAAAATTTAATTATCAGTCTTTGGGAGACCAAGAGGGTGCATAACTGATTGACTTTTGGATGCCACAATTTCGAGTTACAATCAATCATTAAGTAATTTTCAATTCCTAGGTTAATAAATCATTATTAGCATTTATTTTCCTTTAATGAATATTTGTAACTTTAATGGCAAAGCTTCTTTATAAGCTGAACAATTTTTATCAGAAATAACAAGTTGAGTTTTACTTTTAGAAATATTAGAGTTTATCTCTTTTATCTTAGTGAGAGTGATTCTCCTAAGTTCTTGAGTGATTCAAGAACCCTTGGCGGTATCAAACGACTTTCACATCCTTTGTGAGTTGCCTTCCTTGGAAAGAGTTATTCTTTCCTTCCACCTTATCACTAAATTCCTAAATTTCCTACAAGGTTCTAACCTTAGAGATCCTAGATCACCCCATGTGATTCATATAAGTTGGTATTCAGAGCCCCGATTTAAAGGTTTGAATATCAAATTTATGGCAGAGAAGGATAAAAAGAGAATGGGAGAAAATTTCCTTCAAGAAAAGAGAGAAAAAAAGAAGAAAAGTGAAACACTTGAAGTGAAACAAAACTATTTTGCCATAGAAAGTGAGTATAATGTTAGTTCTACATTTAATTTGTCAGACTTATCTTTTTTTTTTTTTTATATAGATGACGAATATGATTTGAGGAAAAATCTTTTTCAAGAGGGAGAGAATGATGTGAACATGACCAATGAGAAGGGTTTGAGCAAGAGAAGTAAAAGAAGCTCTACAACAAGTATTGTTGGTTGACTAAATTGTTTTTTGGATTAATCAATTAATGGGCTTTAGTTTAGTTTTATTGCAAGTTGTAATAAGGACCCAATTGGAAATTTAGTTATCAGTCTTTGGGAGATCAAGAGGGTGCATAGCTTATTGACTTTTGGATGCCACAATTTCAGTTACAATCAATCATTAAGTAATTTTCAATTCCTAGGTTAATAAATCATTATTAGCATTTATTTTCCTTTAATGAATATTTGTAACTCTGATTGCAAAGATTCTTTATAAGCTGAACCATTTTTATCAGAAATAACAAGTTGAGTTTTATTTTTAGAAATATTAGAGTTTATCCCTTTTATCTTAGTAAGAATGATTCTCCTAAGTTCTTGAGTGATTCAAGAACCCTTGGCGGTATCAAAAGACTTTCACATCCTTTGTGAGTTGCCTTCCTTGGAAAGAGTGATTCTTTCCTTCTACCTTATCACTAAATTCCTAAATTTCCTACAAGGTTCTAACCTTAAAGATCCTAAATCACCCCTTGAGATTCATATATGTTGGTATTCAGAGCCCCGATTTAAAGGTTTGAACATCAAATTGATGGTAGAGGAGGATGAAAAGAGAATGAGAGAAAAATTTCTTCAAGAAAAGAGAGAAAAGAAGAAGAAGAGTGAAACACTTGAAGTAAACCAAAGCTATTTAGCCATAATAAGTGAGTATAATGTTAGTTGTACATTCAATTTGTCAGACTTATCTTTTTTTTAGATAGATGATGAATCTGATTTGAGGACAAATCTTTTTCAAGAGGGAGAGAATGATGTGAACATGACCTAT